AAAGCTCAGCTTATTCCCTTGAGGCGGCACAGACTCAATCATTGTCCCCTTAGCGTGCTGGGGCAGTGCCTCTAACTCAAGGCACCACCCTTCGACCTGAAGGAGAACATTTCACGTGTATGCTGTTGGGTTTTAATATGGATGGGGTACATACAGTGTTGCCCAGTTTGAGAGCCGAGCAACCTCAGATCAGCAGTTGCAAGCGATCGGGCAGAACGTCTCAGTTCATGATTTGGAGATCTATTGCAAGTGCGTAAATCATTACTTGTATGAGGGTTCTAGATGCCTCGTATGATCATCATAGAGGACACTGCAAGTGGACCCCCAAATCACAAAACCTTCAAGCTCTTACATCAAAATTATGGATTGCGGTCACATGACAAGCAATTTTCTCAGGCAGGCGACTTTCAGGAAAAGCACTACAAAAGTTGATGCCTTGATTAATTGTTAGGTTTGAAGTTCCCTAAGTCCCCGCTGTTACTTCAACCTTGCACACGCACTGAAGAGCCAAAGGCGCTTCTGCTAGCCTCGCAGCGCGGGCATGCGGAATCGATCCGGTTGCTGCTTGCAGCCGGTGCAGACGATTTGCCACGGCAGGATGGCATCTGTCCAAGCGCAGAAGTATTTTAAAAAGCTTTATAGTGGAGAGCTTCCGGCATCTACGCCGAACATATTTTGGCCTGAATGTCTAATGTTGGCTAGAGTTTGCAGTTTCCATACTATCAGAGCCTGACGATTGTTGTCCCAGTTCCACTTTTCAGTGCCAAGCGGAAGATTTTGATCTTTGCCTGCTTTGTACTTACCCAGATGTCGATTTTCAGGTCCTCCTGATGCAGTCAAAACCTTTAGACGTTAAACCAAAACGCCAACCGGTCAGAAGCTCGGACTAAGATCTTTACCCATGCCACAAATGTGTTCTCCCCAAACTCACAAGTGCAGCGGCTAAGCTTCAACCATTGTAGCTTCCATTTCAGGTTCCCCCGGTGATTTTTGCATGACTTAGCTGCATGGCTGTCCAGCATTCCGAAAGCCACAACGACCCCTATTTGGATGAAGACAGGCAATAAGGTATTCCGTTCAGGACATCATAAATTGTAATTCCTTTTTAAGTTGACGAAATTGGGAAACCTGAAAACAGCAAACAAAAGCAGAAGAGCAGCGCTGGCAGCTGCAACAATAATTTGACGCCTCAAATCCTCAACCCATTTTAATTCTGCATGACAATTGTGATGCTGATGCATAACTGCTTCTGCCAGGATGGAGCGACAGCTCTTTTCCTTGCAGCCCAACGTGGGCACCTTGGAGTCGCACGCGTCTTACTGGAGGCCAGCAAAGACAAGGACCATGATGGACACTCTCTTTGTGTTTGTTTGGGCCCCAAGCATGGAGGATGGAAAAAATTACTTGATCGGAGCCACGACCAAAAGCAGAACGCGCCACGAAGACCTTGCACTCTTCACTCCACTCTCCAGCCCTAAAACTCTACGCTCTAGTGCCCAGTCCGCTCCCATGCATCTTCCACCCCCATTTTCCCTCCACTCTCCATTCTCCTTTCTCCATTCCATTTTCCACTCGCCTCACCACCCCTCCGCCGTCCATTCACTTTCAAGTTCAAACTCCATGCGTTCACCCTTCCACTCCACTTTCCACTCCGGACACGACGGTCCAATGGCAACGAAAAAGGTACGACTGTTCCGAAAATTGCAATTTCGAGTGAATTCCTCCTTGCGACTGCTGAAAATTTGGCTGACACACAACAAAGACACAAAGGTCCAAAAGCGACGACGCAGCCACGACAGTTGCAAGGATGGCGACTTTGATGAGGGCCATCCCTGTCACTGCTGACGCCACATTTTGAAAGCAACAACAAAGCCACGACAATTACGCGGATGGCGAACGCAAGAGGCCTCATCCCTGCAAGCGTTGCGACGTTGGACATACGGGAGTATGGGATGGTGAGAACGAGAGGCCTTAACCTTATGGTTGTTTACATATCGGTGGTTCTCAAAAATGTGCACCCGGCTACAAAGATGAAGATAAGGATTTTGGGATAGAGGGAGCAGCGATCGCATGACACCGCCAGGACAGGGCTCGTATGGATTTCATCACCGTTTGTCATGGAGGCTAGTGTTGAAGGACGTTTTGTTTTTCATAGATATTGAAGTTGGATGTGGAGCAAGGGTGTGTCTAAGGTGATTTTCAGAGTCAGAGCATTTAGCTTTCGGTCATCAGGTTTTTCCAAGCCGGGTTTTGTTGCTTAGTTGTTTTAAGGCTCCAACGGAAAAAACATGATAAACCGCTGCCACGGACTATTGCACAGCTTCGGAACCCAGGAGAATGTTTTTCCTGGTTTCCACCACATGTTCTCCAATTCGGACGACGGCGTCTGACTTTCATCGAGTCTTTTGGGTTGCATTAGCGCTGTCAGATTGGTATCAAATCAGTTGAGTGGTCCCATGGGCGCATGATGCACAACAAACGAATCAAACCTCTGGTAGGATTGCAGAGGTTCCCCACCAGTTGCAATCCCAGTCCTGGCGCTGGACTTTGGAAAGCAGGGCAAAGATCAGAGGAGGTACATGGCAAATTTCAGGTGCTTTGCTGTGGAATCATGTAGACAAACATTCTCAGCAAATGCCCCCAGTTTGAAGTTCATAGTGCGTGCTGTTGAGAAGATCAGGCAAGAACCTTGGCGTGAGTGAATTCAAATTCTGCTTAAAAAAAACCGGGATTGTCCATGCATGCGGGTCAGGCAATGTGATCTGGTTTGGATGACAGTTTTGCTTTCCCTTTGGCAGTAAACCGTGGTCTACATCTTCCAAGATCATTGTTAGCACCACAATAAAAACGCATGGGCTATGGGAACATCCCATTTGAATTCTTAGCTACCGGATTGCGGTTATGTTCCTGACTTTTATGTAATAAGGGTCCCACTATTTCGATTCCATTTCTTGTACAGATCCTAAGATGAGCTCCTTTATGTGGTGTGGTGCTGCAACTTACACGGGCACGTGCGAGTGAGCTGTGAGGGATGTGATCTTGTTTATTTGTTGCTTTTGAAATATCATTTATAAGGCGAAGATTACCGACATACTGCTGCGATGCACCAAATTCATTGACAGACGAGATTGACAGGTGGTCACATGGAACTATTAGACTCGTGGCCCACGGTGACGATTCAAAGGTTACTCTGCCCTCATTCTAAGGATCATTGGCAAGCTGTTCGTGAACATGACATCATGAGCTGGAGCATGGCGGGCTTTCGAGCACACTGAGGGGTACGGTTTCTTAGTTTAAAAAACCTCCAACGTGGCCATGCTGCAACGAAAATGGATTCTCAACCGCTGTCTCAAGAACTACGCAGACCAAAATATGGCTGGATAAGCAACTGCTTCTTTCAAACGTGACGTGGACAAATGTGAGAGTTTTTCAGTAGATATCTCCTTTTTTGGCATCTGAATTCTTCAAGATCAACCGTATATGGGGTGCTAGCCTTTGGCAAAGACAAATTCCAATCTGATTCAGACAGTCGCTTCAAATTTTGAATTCTTTTATCCGAAATGAAATCTATTTTATCTAAGATGAAATTCTAGAAACAAATAGATAAGTAGAAAATATCCATTGAAGAAATTTGAAATTTAAATCAACGAGAATTTCAGTTCGTTTGTATAGACCTCAATAATACGGCGCGGCCATTTGCGGCCATTTCGCTCGCGCGCGGCCTAGCTTTTCCGGCTCGCTTTTAAAACGCCTCCTGCTGGCTCCGTAGGGGCTCTAAATCTCGGAGGTTTTAGAGCCCTTTGGTAAAGCTAGAGGCTCGAAAATCTGAGATTTTTGGTGCAGGTGGCGCGACCAAAAATCTCGGAGATTTTTGGTCGCGGGGCCCTTGCCTCCGGAGCGCGTGATTTATCTCTCTTTGACTGTCTGCGCGGCTGCTCAGTGGAGCGTGTAAACCCGGGCCGGAGATCAAAAAATTTTCGGCATCTATAGGTTGTCCGTTTTTATCACGCGCGGTCTTATATCTTGATTGTTCATCGGGCTGCACGCGCGATCTCATTTAATGATTATTCATCGGACTTCTCGGTATGGATACTCTCAAACAAACATTTTTCCGCGGCCCTTGCTTCCGGAGCGGTCTTCCACCTGATTTGTCTCGCTTTGGCTGTCTGCACGGCTGCTTGAGAGAGCATGTAGACCTGGGACGGCGAACCAAAAACTGTTGTAATTTATGGAATGGCCGTAGCAATCTGCTGGGATGAATGCGTTCCCCCGAGCCGCCGCGCAACTAAAGATCTCTTGAGATTTCAATTTTTTTCTCTTTATCTCTTTGATTATCTGCGCGGCGGCTCGGGGGAATGCCTTTAAAGGATTATCTCGAGAAGACGGAATTTAAATTTGCGCGGCTTTTGGTCGCCGGGCATTTTACAAATTTAGAGAAAAAAATATCTCTAAGAATGGATAGACGAACTCTAAATCGGCTAGGATTCGGCGGGATTGGTTCCCGATTCTTAGGCTGCATCTTTTGAGGAATACTAGATAAGCCCCCATTAGATTTTCAAAATTGAACGGCCGTAAGGATTCTTCTCAATGATCGTATTTATGGAGAACGAAAAAAATCTGATACTGGGTGCGCAGGAGAAAAGAGAGAGAAAAATCTGAGAGAGTGATATCTTGACGAGATTCAATGATTTTCTTATTCTCTGAGCAATCTCTGATAATCCTGAATAACCTCTTTCAATTGCGTCGCAGCTATCTTTAAAATACGAGCGCGTAAAGGTCAAGTAGATTTTTATGATTCCTATCTTCTTGGATATGATGATTCTCATCTAGAATTTCGATCGTCTAAAAGTCTTAATGTTATACATATTCGTCTATTTATTTATTATATAACGAAAATATTATTAATATTGAATCGTTCGTTGGATATTCTTTTTCATATTTCTCGGCAAATCATAGGATTCAATTTTGAATAGGCATGATTTTTTCTCAAATATTATTATAAATATTTTGAAAAAATCTAATTGAATGATAAAATATGATCTGTCTAAATATCTTAATTTCTAATCGTGAATTTTTCATTAAATTTTCTAAGATTTATATATATATAAATCATTCTATATAAGCTACGAAAATTTCATTAAATAATTAATAATTGAATGAATGATAAATCTTATTAAGATAAGGTAGGATTAGGTATTGGGGGGCTCTGATATTGTCTCTCTATTCTTATTGGAATAGACGCGTATTGATAGTCGTTTATTTTTTTTTTTTG